CATTTACATATTATCTATGGCTACACTAGCAGAGTTGTACGTTCATACAATTGACCAGCAATAGGGCACACAAAGCCAATAACTATCTGGTTTATTACAGAAAAGTGTGAGGACCTCAGATTAGTTTAATGAATTGCTTTTGTTTTCAGCATATGGATTCCTAAATATTCTCTAGCATATATCATGCTTGTTTGTGACTGTGACAATAAAGCTTTAACATCCAATTTAAAAATGAAACAAAGAAAATGGTATTAACAAATAGATTTACCAGCTTTATAGGATAAGTAACTGAAGCAGATTGTAGCTTTTGTACATCTACAACTGAGATATGACAAATCTTGGATTCAGAGAACAGGAATTTGAGGGATGTGAGGATGAGGAAAATAGCGAGCCAATTGGGTAAGTGGAAAGAACAAGAGGGGTCAGGTCCGGGAAGATGATTTCATGAGAATGAAAGATCAGTACTCACCCAAGTTTAGAGAGAGGGTTCAGCATGTTCTAATAGACCTAGAGAGGGTGGGGCAGGGTTGGGGACCCTCAATCAAATGAAAGCAAGTTTGGCACAAAGGAGATAACATGATCCAGGAGATCCAAGGATGTGTTCCCTTAAACCTGGAGATTTTCTTCCAGAAACATCAAGGCAGAAAGAATGTAAAGATATTAATGTTAATAACGACAGCCGTCTATTTATAATGTATAGACTCTAAGCACTTATAACTATGGAGTCACTCAGTCTTCACAATAACTGTGAAATCGTGACTCTGTTTATAGCAAGGAAATTGAGGTGTTTAGAGCTTAGTGACTTGCCTGAGGTAGAGTCATGTGCCAGTGAATTCCACAGCCAGGCACTGGACTGAACTCTCATTGTGAAACGACAAGAAGCCTCGTAGACAGGATGATGTGGCCAGCCCCACCTCACCCAGGAAGTGAGTGAGTGGCCCTTGTTCATTCAGCATCAGATCTAGGAATGATGACACTTGATCAGCTGAGCACTCAATCATGTTCCAGTTTGAATCTCAGCCAGCCCTTTTAGACGAAGATTATGAAGAGACTTGTCATACTGTGATGTCATAGGGAGATGATATGATAATGACTTTGACAAGGAAAGGCTCAGTTGCCAAGAAGCAGCAGAGCTCTGAGACAAGAGCAGGAAAAAAACTCTCAAACCCACAGTAGTGGGCACAGACCTAACATCCCAGAGAAGCCTCTGAGCAGAGGAGGAGAGAGGCCCAAAGTGACCACACCTAAAAGACACAAGCCACTTTGCCCTGCACACTGCAGACATGGTTCAGAAAACAAACCTTCATTCTTCATAACAGATGGCTACTGTCTTATATTTCTATTTTTCCCCATTGTGCTTATCACCATCCGAAAGATATCATTTGCATGTCATCTAAATATTGTATCCATTTGGAGTGTTAATTATGGGGTGGTAAATCTTATATTCAATCTTATTCTCTGCTGCTCAATACATAATAGATGCTCAATAATATCTGTTTAAAAGTCTCACTTCTGCTCAAACTCCTAAATGTGTAGAGGTCACTCAGGGTTACCCTTTATGGAGGATAATCTCCTTGTCTTGGTGACAGAGATAACCACCAGCCCAGAGCCCAGCCAGGGAAAGATCTGCCTTCTTCACCTCTCTCTCCTAGTACCACAAGGAAAACCAATGGACTCTGGGCATCTCTGTGGTGAGATATGGCCTGGGGACCACCTTTGACAGGATGCTGATTTTGCACTTATAGTGTATGTGTGAAGGCTCAGTTTAAGAGTCTAAATGTTCACTTATACCATAGCTAGAAATCAGAGGCTGCCCAAGTAAACAAGCAAATTCATTAGCTGTTTTTGTGTTTTGTGTTGAATTATGCCTCAAAATTTATACATTGAAGTCCTAACATCTGAGCCTCAGAAATGACCACATTTGAAAGTGTAGTCTTTGCAGATGCAAATTGTCAAGATGAGGTCAGACTGGAGTAGAGTGGCCCCTGATCCAAAATGACAGGTGTCCATACCAAATACAGGGGAAATTTGGAGACATAACACAGGAGACAGGAATCAGCAAGAGGTCTCCCTGAGAGTGAACCCCCAGAGGCTAGGAGAGGCCAGAGTAGCTGATCCATTGTAGGCCCCAGAGTAACAGCCCTGCTAATACCTTGATCTCCTATTTCCAGCTTCTCGAATCATGAGACAATCCTTGACTGGTGTTCCTGCTACTGTGTTTAAGGTTCTTTACTGCACTCGCTTGGGAAAAACAACACAAATTCTAACAGTGGTTCCTCAATTCATCAGGTGAGCAAGTCACCTGAGTGGACCTGAGCAGGAAGAGGATAGGGTGTCCCTCTTGCCAAAATGGGACACAGCAAAGTGCTTTCTATTGGATCAGGTGAATACCACTTGCTGATGAGCTGACCCCCTTCCAGATCAACTTTGAGCCTCTCTCTTACTCTTGGCTCCTGCTTCTTCTCTAGGGTTTGAGTCTCCCTCACCTGGTTTTTAGCCAAATGTTCTATCTTCCCCAGCTGTGCAAATACCTAAATTGCCTCAACACATCAGAGAGGGCATTTCAGGAAGCAGGAATAAGAAACTGCCAAGGGCAAAGTAAATAGGCTGCATATAGCCTGGTTGGTGTGCTGAGAGCCATAGTTAGTGATATGCAAGATACCCAGTAGTTATGAGAAGGAAATGGCAGGTTGGAAAACCAAGAGACAATACAGCCTATATCTGTAAGAGAGAAGAGATATTTAAGGGCCTGGTGGATACATACCAACGAGCTTGTGCCAATTAGTTCTAGAGACCCACATGGTGAATAGTTTCAATTCTGTTCCTTTTGGATGTGAATATGTCATGGTGTGTGTGCATATGTGAGACAGAAAGAGAGACAGAGACAGAGAGACAAATAGCATGGTCTGCCCTTAGTAACTGTGGCTTCCACATCCATAAGCATACCCAACCTCAGACTGAAAATAAATTGCTTCTGTTCTAAACATATATAGACTTTTTCTTGCCATTATTCCCAAAACAATACAGTATAACAACTATTTACATAGCATTTACATTGCATTTGGTATTATAAGAAGCCTAAGGATGGTTTAAAGTATTCAGCGAGATGTACATAGTTTATATACTTTGTGAATTAATATAAGGCACTTGAGTATTTACAGACTTTGGTATCTGAGGAGGTCCTGGAACCCATCTTCCACCGATGATGGTGATGCTAACGGACAAATGTAGTAAACTTGTAGTAAACAAGTATAGTCAACTTGAAACTCTTGAGGGAATCCCGCACCTAAGGAAGCCACAATTCCCTGCAACACTCAGCACCTGTGTAGAGTGAGGCTAGCCTGAAGCGTCCCTACACATCAGATGGGAAGATGTTGTCTGACCATCCTTTTAGTCCAAGATGGAGGGATATGCCAGCGCGCAGATGTTTTAGCATTAAAATGGTCACACTAGATTTGACACATGCTCATACATGTGCACACACACATACACACACACACACACACACACACACACACACACACACACACACATACTAACCTGTAGGATCCCTAAGATCTTGCATGTATTTAGGCCAGGACATATCAACCTGGCCATATATAGCCACAGGAGGAGTCCACCTGCCCTGGGGTAGAGGTATTGCTACTCATCAACTGTTCTCAAGAAGTACTCTTCTGGTCAATATCAGGACCACAATTAGAAGAGCTATGACTACCCTGGCAATGGGAAAGTGGAGTCTCACACATAGATCCTTCTAAATAGTATACTGGGTAAGGATGCAGATGCTGGGTGAGGAGCTGGCCCTCAGCTACTCCTCACCTTGACATGCCTCAGATTGGCTACCTGATTATCTTGTGTCAGAGTCTAAAATCTCCAGCATATGCCATTCCTCTTTTCATTCCCCACCCCCAATACTTTTTCAGAAAGCTTCTCTCTCATGTTATTTTGCACATAGGAAACTAAATTCAAACAACCTGCTCTTTCTCACCCTTTAGGGAGAATGAAAGCAAAACTGTAAATGAATTTCTTTGTTTATCTGGGGAAAGTGAGGCCCAGGGAGATGGGGCACCTAGCTCCAGGCCTCACTCAGAGCCATAGTGATATATCCTGAGACATCGAGCAGATGGATGCCAATGTGTGTAGCTCTGCCAAGGGGTATCCTATCAGGCTCGGTCCACACACAGTGAAAGTGGGCACCATGGTAAGATCCCCTCCACGTAATCCATAGTTCCTCATGGATTGATGGGGTGTCTGGAAGAGCACCCCACTCTCACCAGAGAGAAAGTAAACAGAACTGTAGTCTATGTGAAAAATACAATTGATGGACCCTGGAAATATCTCTTGACTTTTTTTTAGGGGGCGTGGACTTTGATCCACACTGAGTCTACAGCCAACAGAGGCTAGATGTCCCTTCCCTTCCTCCTGTCCTCTCTCTGTCCACCCAGCCTTCCCAGCCTGTCTTTTTCCCTCCTATTCTCCTAAGAGTAGAGACATTACAAGACAAATACACTTTCTCTTGCTAATGTTGACCAGAGCACCATTTCAAAATTGGTTATAATAACTAATTCTCATTCACGTCCTTTACATAAAACCTCCTTTCACTATCAATAAGAGGAAAACAGAGCGGACAGGAGGAAGGACACCACCCCACGCTGCCACGTTAGATAAAGCCACCGTGTCTCAGAACAGGAGCCTCAGGGTCTCTGGCATGGGACCACTCCTCCTCCAGGTTTTCAGGACTCCCAACACTACAAATCCATCCAAAGGCAGGTGGTACCCTGACTCCTCTACTACACATAGCTCGGCTGGTCCCAGAACTGACCAGGCCAATTAACAGTGATGTCAGATTGTTTGGGTCAGTATCATTCCTGAACCATGAAACAGTTAAGAAATATCCTGCCCCACTGGCTGCCAGACTCATAAAGGTGGACCCACGTGTACTTCCTTGTGGCTCCAAGACGCGCCAGCTCACTCATTTGCTCACACCCAGAGGGAGAGAAGGCAGTGGCAGACAGGGCTGCCACCTAGCATGCAAATCACCACGGGGGAGTGTGGCTACACTTCTCGGGCTGCTCCCAGGCAATGCTCCTGGGTAGGCCATGTGCTGGATGCCATCCTGGGCGCTGTGTATTCATCCTCACAGTTGCCCTCCTGAGTGACGCTGTAGGCCTGGTCCTTTTGTTGCTGGGGATCTTTGCCACACTGAACTACTGGGACTTCTTAGTCTACACAGGAGCTCTGATCTTGGCCCTAAGTCTTCTGTTCTGGTTTGCCTGGTACTGCTTCAATATCGAAGTGCCTCTTGAGAAGCTGGACATATAGTTTGGCTATGGATCAAGGAGGTGACATGCTACTGTAAACCTGGGGTCGATGAAAGGCATCAGATGCAGCTTCCATCCAGGGTGACCGGTCAGGACCAGGTGAGTCCACACAAGACCTACTTAGAAGGGTGGCCAGGGAAACTCAGACCAGCAGGGACAAGTCAGGACTAGACATTAGCTCTTTGACTGGGAATTCTATCAACCTGGGTTCATGGTGGACCAGGCAGGAGAATGTGGACCAGTTGTTTTCTCCTCCAGGAACTGTTTTCTCATAGAGGTTCTCCACGGTTTCTTCCAGTCCTGTTATGTCACAAGTGATCTGGCCTGCCATGGAGAAAGAGCTTTCCTTTCCACTTGAGATTTGAAAGATGAAAAAGAGATCATTTTGATTTTCTACCTGGGAGAGCCCCTGCCAGGGGGAGAAAAATGTTTCTAATGTAATATGAGGATGGAAAGTTCCCCGGTGGCTGCTTACATGCCTGTGGGGTGTGGACTGGGCTATGTGGGAGCAAGCAGAGTGGAACCAGCCAGAATGGCTCTTCTAGCTCACTTCCTCCCTGCACCTGCCCGAAATGAGACACACCAGAGAGAGCCAGGAGCTGCTGCCCACACTCTCTTAGTGTACCTACCTCCACTCTCAATAGCGCCCCTGCCACCAATCCTTACACACCCACAAATGCAGCTAACTCGTGTTCCTAGGCCAACCTCGGAGATCCAGAAGTCAAGAGACCATGGCTTGGGCGAGGAGTTCACTGATCAAACCCTAAGTCGCACAACCTGGAAAGGGGGCCTTGTTGACTGCCAAGAACCCAAGAAGCAGTACATTCTAGGAGTAAATTCACACAGAGACAGAACCCAGAAGATAGAGCTGGGAAGCTTCATACAACTCTGAATTTGAGAAGATGGGAGCTTTCCATTAGAGCTCCAAGCTGGTTTGACTGTTAAACCTACTCCCCAGGTGGCGTGGGACTAATAGCCAGGCACTCCCTTTTGATTAGGAGATGGAAAAGCAAAGGTCACTGCTGAGTTGAAAGAAGGAAATAGTGTTTCTATCTTTTATGGGAGATAGCATCTGACCCTCAGAACTGAAAGAAACAAAAAGTGAATTGAAAAGGCCTCTGTGGGTACCTGGCGGGGGGGGGGGGGGGGGGGGGCGGGGAATGCAGGAAAATATGAGATACTAGAACATTCAGGACTTGCTCTGTGCTTTCATATTTTTTGGCTGGATGGTCTTGGACCGGCTGCATCACTCTCTAAAGATGCTATTCCTTAGCTTTGTTAAAGGGGCCAAAAAGAGGGAAGCCTGAAAAAAAAAGGCTCTTTACAAATGGCGTAATGCTCGCAAACATCGGATGTTGTTATTGAATGTGCAGTCTGGGGTGAGTAAACTTGACTCAGAGTCCACATTTTGTGCCGCAAGTTGGTAGTGACAGGGATCATCTCTCACTTGGCATGATGAATCTTCAAAGCAAGATGGGCCCGGACATGTCTGCTGATTCATTAGAATGGTCACGCACTATATAAAAGCAGCTGGGATGTGGTAAAAAAAAACAGCATCCATGAGGGCTCTGCTCTCAAGGCATTTACTGTCTGGTGAGAGCGACAGATGTCAGCTTCATAGTCACGTTAGCAGCAGTGCAATATCAAAGTCAGGTGAGGACCAAGAAGGAGAGAAGGTTGATGTCACAAAAACACTCAAGAGGGAATGGATCTGGAAGGTGAAGTGCCAGCAAGCTTCTTAGAAGAAGTGATGCCAGGCTGAGCACCAAACGTGTATAGGGGAAGCAGGAGTTGGCTGGGAAGCCTGCCTTTCAGGAGAGGCCATGGCTTGAGCATAGGTAAGCCTTGGAGAGGAGGAAGTAAAAGAGAGCAGGAAGACATAAGAGCAGAGATCGGGTGCTAAAGAGGGACTGGGTCCCTGCAGTAAGCAGCGACCAGATCTAGCAGGCTTTGAAGCCCCTTTAAGAAATGCTAGTCATTACTTTAAGGACAATAAGAAGCCACTGAAGAGACATAAGCAAGGTTAGGCCTGACATCATTGAATCTGTTTCCAAAGGATATCCGAAGCACAGCTCAGAGGAACCAAAGTGCCTGGTACCAGGCAGGCATGAGGTTCCCTGCTCAGTCCATCTTCTCATACAAGTTCAATAACCCAATGCCCTGGGCCAAACTCCACATAATCTGGCTTGAATCCAGTTTTGTTCCTTCACAGCTGTGTGGCCAGGAGCAAGTTACTACCTCCCCTCCATGTCCCAGGTCCCAATCTGTAAAGTGGAAATAATGAGATTAGTAGTGAACTCAAGTAGATGTCTCTGGGTGGATTAGCAAATATTGAATACTATGTACATGATGACCAAGTAAGCCACATGCACCCTGCTAAGCCTCCATCCCGACACAGAAAGCTGGCACAGTAGAAGAGGTAAGAAATTCCCTCAAAATAGACAACCTTGCCAGGCGCTGGTGGCTCACGCCTGTAATCCTAACTACTCAGGAGGCTGAGATCTGAGGATCGCAGTTCAAAGCCAGCACAGGCAGGAAAGTCCGTGAGACTCTTACCTCCAACAAACCACTAGAAAACCGGAAGTGGTGCTGTGGCTCAAGCAGTAGAGCACTCACCTTGAGCTGAAGAGCACAGGGACAGTGCCCAGATAGTTCAAGCCCCATGACTGACCAAAAAAACAAAAAAGACAACCTTGAGGCATTATGATCAGTTCTTAAGGCAGAATTTGGTAGTAAAGTGAGCAGATGCTACCTGAAAATGCCAGGCTCCATGATGTTCTTTGGGCAAAGAACACTTTTGCCTTTGCATTCCCCAGACTCCATTTCCGGGTGGACCTTAAAGCCAGACAGATCCACCTGCCACACTGCTCTTTCTCTCTACATTCCCTGCCATGTGTAAGGACAGCTAGACAGGTGGGTAAATCAGTGTGGGCTGGAACTTGCCATTCAGGAAGCTATTTTACTCATTCATGGGACCTGCAGCAATTCACTCTATTTCCTTTTATTATTCTATTTACTCCTTTACAACAGGAGTAGGTAAGTAGATGGGGTGAGGTGCAGATTGGAGGAACAGAAATCCCATAGTCTCCCTGCCCTCATCCCAGATAAGTCTTGTTTACTAAGAACACTGGATTTTTAACAGTTTTGCTGATGAACTTGCAAATAAGGCTTCATGCCACTATAAGCTTCCCCTACCAAAAAAAAAAAAATCTTTCAAAAATGACTCAACTCAGTTCCCTCACATTCTGCCACCCTTGGCCTGAGTAGGATTGATCTCCAGCCATATTTGCGATGTAAGGGGAGATTGTGACTGGCTTTACCAGTCCTCGATTCTCAAGAGTGGGGTAAAGGAAAGAATGTGGTCTCCTGACACTGACTGGCCTCAGTTCCTCCCTTGTCCTTCAGAGGCTCAGGAAGATGAGGTTACTAGAACCTACTCCACCTTGCACCAGAGGTAAGGCCACTTTCTCATCTGGTATTGTAGTGGGGAGGTAGGTTGTGGCTTGTACTCTGCCCTCAGCCTACTAATTCTCTGAAGACCAGAGAGCATTCTGGCACTAAATCTCAAAGGCTGTCCCTTAAGTTTCAAGATAAATGGCTCATTTTTATAGCCCAGCTGTGTACCAAGCAAGATATTCTGCCCTTTGATTTATTATTTTTTTTAATCACTCAGCTGTTCTATTTTCAGAGCACTTTCTCCATATTCTACTTCTTGGGCATTTCCTGTAGATAATTAAATCTTCAGGCAAAGTCAGGTAAGAACTCTTGTCCTTTAACAAAGAGTGTCCAAAACCACATATCCCCAACCACAGATGTACCCTATAGGTGTCTGCCTCTCCTATTGTCCTACAAACAACCCACCCATTTAACAATACAGAGAGAAATGGAGATCACCTCCTTCACCTTTCAAACACATGATCCCCCACCTACATATGCCTGTTTATCCCTCCTCCACATTAGCGTTTCTAACAGGCAGCCTCTTCTCCCTGCCTATGGAGGAGGTCAGTCTATTGCCAAGTCTGCCTAAAGGTGAGCTGGGTAAAAAGGGTCTCTGTTACCCACTCAGCAAGCCCTTGCTTCAGGGAAACACAATGCTGGCACTGTGTGAACAGCCAGACATTTCTCAGATCTCTCCAGGGAATTTTAATCTAAAAGGGAGAGATAATACAAGTACACAATGCTTCACTTAAGTATATGGGGAAAAGCATTCCGGGAGTTAAGCCCAAGGCTTGCAACAGGTTCTGAGAGCTAGGAGGAGGCACAGGGTCTCTGCACTGGAAGCAAGAGGCCATGTGTCTGGCCTCCTGGTTTCAGATGTCTGGCTTGACTCTTAAGGAATAGATAAGAACACGACAGGCAGAAATGGCACAGGTTGCCTGGGAAAAAGAAAGGCTGCTTCCAGGCACTGGTGGCTCATGCCTATAATCCTAGCTACTCAGGAGGCTGAGATCTGAGGATCATGGTTCAAAGGCAGCCTGGGCAGGAAAGTCCTTGAGACTCTTATCTCCAATAAACCACCAGAAAAACCGGAAGTGGCGCTGTGGCTCAAGTGGGTAGAGCACTTGCCTTGAGCTGAAGAGCAAAGGAACAGTGTTGAGGCCCAGATTTCAAGCTCCACAACTGACCAAAATAAAAGACTGCAGAGACAAAAGAATTCGAGTCTTAGGAGGCTAAGTGGACACATTTGACTAAGAGGTCAGAGTCTTCAGTTTTTAGTGCCTGGACTTTGAACACCAGGTGAGGATCCTGATATCTTGACAAGAATGGAGAAGCCTACTTTGACATTACAGACTGGAGAATTGTACAACCCCTCCCTCTTCCTGAGGTAGAATAACTTGACTTCAATGACAGAATGTATTAGGGAGTTCGTGGAGCTCAAGTGGTGAGCTGTAAGGGCTTGGACTCAAATGATGGCCACCAGAGGAGGGGAGAAGGCTGAGGACAGCCTGGGGAGGGAGACTGCCCTGCTCTCCTGCAGGGAGAGGCAGTGGAGAGGACTTCCAGCTGCCTCACCATCCCTAGAATGAGGGAAATCAGGAAAGGTCTCAGTGTTAACATGATGTGTTTTCTTCATGTGGTTTTAGATGCAAATGGTGCACCCCGGTTGGCATTTAACTTTGCAGATTTTTTTTTAACTCAGAAGAGAGTTAGATGTGGAGATAGAGGTAGGATTGGGATATGGCTGGGAGTCAGGTGGGAAAGGGGAAGATTATAGAGATTTGGATAGCAGAGAGAAGGAAAGAGGAAAGGAAAAATGAAGGAAGGGAGGGAGAAAGGGAAGAAGGAAGGAAGAAAGGGAAAGGAACAGTATAATTTACTGAACCGGGCTCCTTCACTGAGGAAAGGATCACCATCACAATCACTCACCTCCTACAGATAAGGATAGTCAGGAGCACAGAGGTTTAGAATTTGACCAACATGACAGAACCAGTGAGTGATGAAATCCTTGTATCTGCCTCTTGTTGATAGTCTTTCCACTAGACTGGGCACCGGCAGACTCTGGCCCATGGCCAAGTCTAGCCTACCTCCTATTTTTATAAGTAAAGTTTCTTTGGCTGTCAACCAGTTCATTGACGTATGTATTGTCCCTGGCTGTTATGCTATAATGGAAGGATTGAGTAATTCCAACAGAGACTCTACAGCCTGAAAAACCTTCGCTATTGCCTACCTGGCCCTTTAAAGAAAAAAAGTGCCAAACACTGGCCTAGCCTTGGATAGATGTTCCCCACAGGAGTCAAAGTTAGAACCATAGGCCATGCCTACATTTGGAAGATGGGAGAGTGAAGGAAGCTTGGGGAACTCAAATGGTAGCACCCAGTAATTCTAAGTGGGGAGCATGAGGAAGGCGGCACAGAGGACAAAGGAAAGCATAATAACAAGAATGTAGGAATGACCATCAAATGCTTCAGAGTGGTCAAGGAAGTTGAAGTGTTTGAAAGTGATGAGCTTCTGAAATGAGCCTTTATCATTAAATGCTGGGAAGATCAGATTCATGCTACTTATGGAGTGGCTGTTCAGATGTACAAGAACTATGTGCAGAGTAGTCTTTTAGAAGTTTGGTGAAAGAAATCAATAAAACAGGGCATACCTGGTTGAAGGCAGGACTTTTTTAAAAATATTTTCACTCTTATTATAAAGATGATGCACAGAGGGGTTACAGTTACATAAATCAGGTAAAGAGTACATCTCTTCTTGGACAATATCATCCCTTCCCTTACTTTTTCCCAGTTTTTCCCTCCCATCCCTACCCACAAGTTGTACAGTTCATTTTCGACAGAGTGTCTAATGAGTACCACTACTGCATTTGGTCACCCTTTGTCCCTCCATTTCTCTGGGCAGGACTCTTTTTAAAGGAAGAGTTACCAAAAATTGAACAGGATGGATGGAAAGTCAGAGACTGGAAACAAAGAGGGAAAAAGGAGGATGAAATGGTAAGTTAAGATGGATGTCTAAACACATCCAAGACAGAAGCAGGATGATAACCCAGAGCTCAGAGAGATATATTAGATTTGCCTACAAGATAGAGTGGAGAGAGAAACTAAGATTCTATGAGCACTTATTTTCATGATCTTATTTATTGCTTAGAGCTCTGTGCATAGGGATTCAAGCTCCCATTTCCCACCAGAGGAAAATGAGCTTCAGAGCTACCTCAGAGCTAGTCCAAGGCAAGCATGCTGGTGATGGGCAGCACCCAGATTCAAACCTGAGTCTGGCTGACTCCAAGAATTACCCTCGTTTTACACAGGCATAACATAATGTAGCTGAGGCTCAACTGACCCATCTCATCTTCATTTATTCAACACAGGCCCTGTTTAATGGAGAAGGAGAAAATCAAGATTCATCCTTTAACGGTACCCACGAGGAACCCACAAGGATGCCTCTATGTGGCTCTGGAAGCCAGGACTCCATAAGGGGCCCAGCACCTTGCACTAGACCACTGAAGTTACTGCTGCCACTTCAATCGTTTGTGGAAAGCCTGAGAAGCTAGGAAGTTACCTCAGTGGGGCTTTAATGGGCTTATATGCCACCGAGAAGCTCCGTGCTCATCTCAATGTCCTTTCCAAACAATTGAAGCCAAGAAAAGAAATTCCTATGGGGAGCGGGGAGGTGTCTCCTACAAGCACACGTCTCAGAGCATTGCTGCTACTTCCATCTAAGTCTTTGACCCAGGTGACTCTCTGAGCCCCTGGAAAACTCCAGAGCATCCCTGCTTACCTGTGGCTATATGGTATCATATTCTAAGATGTTGGTTGCAAGCCCGAGTGTGCAGCTTTGTGTCAGAGGACTTTCTCCTCCTCAAGGGACACACTGTGCACCATTCAACCCATCCGTTTTCACAGCCTGGCCACGTGGGTTGTTATATTCAGCTTTCAGTCAACTGCAACCCTCCAGGCACTTTTCTGACAAGCACATCAGAATTCTGCTGCACTGTACCGTCATTCATTTCATAGCCTCAAAGCCAAGATTTTTCTTTGAGCCTAAATTACATGTGGTCAAGTGAAACCCAACTACAGCAACTCTGAAGATCAAGATCCCCAGGCTGTTGTGATTAGATGTCTACCATTTTCTCAGTCAGGCCTGACCTGCCAGTGTGTGAAGAATAATTTATATTTCCCTTGGTCTGATTTTGTATTTTTTAATTTATATGACACTCTGTATGTCTATGTGTTTCTTTTCATCTGCTTCATATCTTTTGTGGTCTGAGGTAGTTACCCAAATGAAAAAAAATGAATTTTTAACATGACATTACATGATTCTGGGTCAATATGATTTCATAACAACTCTCTAGTCCCTGATTTCAGGGCATCGTGTTCCTTTTCATTTACTTTGACTTTGCATAAACCCTGGTATTCCACATTGTCTCCGGAAGGGATTGCTTAGAGCATGGTGTGGTGGAGACAGAACCGGGTGACTCCAGCACCATGGGGTCATCTGGCATTTCTGAGTCTCTCCACCAACCTTGCTAGACCCAGGAACCTGAAAAGACATCATGAAATAACATCCTAGTTGAGGCATTAAAAGAAAGATTTCCAGAACTTCCTTCTACCATCTTTACTTATAACCTTATTGATTTTCCCATTTACAAGTTTGCTATGTGTGTCTCAGCTGACTACATACTGTTGAGGGGTCACCTCATCTAACTTGGCATTCTGGAATTCACACACAAGAAAAGTTGCCTATCCATGAAACTTCTCTATCCTAGGGACAATACTATGCTGGAGGCCTTATACGTTCTCTTCCTGAGACTAACATTGCTGGATGTTTTGTTTGGGTTTGGTTTATGATTAGAGAAATGCCAATTGTTTTCTGTTTCCAGACAATAGGAACACAAGTGCAGTGGCTGCCTATCTTTCTCTTAGCAGCATCAAGTTGTTACAAATATGCAAATCTCAAAAAACTAAGATCACTTGCAGCCCAGAGAATGTGTTCACATCTGAAAGAAACTGAGAGAGCTGAGACAGGCTAAGCAATAGCTGAGCCACACCTCACACAATGCATTTACTCCAAGCAATCTTCAACTGCCATTTACATCTCACGCTCATCCTCTCATCTGTCAGAGAACAAGATAAAGACAGAATTGCTGCATAGATATAGATAGATATAGATATAGATACAGATAAGGTCTAGGTTTGATTCTTCTATTTTCTCTCTAATTAGAAGACATGCTCTTGCAGAATAACGCTTGTGACCACTACTTTGGGAGTGAGTGTGGAATAATGTGTGGTAACAGGATGAAGTGAATTAAATTCCATTCCAGTCGATGACTTACTAGCCCTTGGATTAGCCGCCCCAGAAGGAAAAAAAAAAAAGTTCATAGAGAAAAGACTCCTGGTCTTTACCATCACTGGATACCTTTGGAACCACTTTTAAATCTTCAACTGAGAACGCAGACCCAGGCTGTGCACATGGAAGTCAGAAGACCATCTCTCTGGAGTGAACCACAGGCCACCGTTGCACATCTGCAAGGATGAATCTCAGAGACACTTCAGAGTATAGAACAGGAGGTCAGGAGAACCAATGATAATCTTTAGAGATCATTGAGTAGGGCTACTCCAGATGGAGGCAAATTGCCAGGGGTCTAGTTGAAGGTAGCTTCAGATTCCATAAGCCTGGGGAACATCTGAGCCTGTGCCTTTCTAGCAAGTTCCCTGTTGTTGGTGGCATCTGTGAGACACTAAAGAGCAAAGATTTCCAGAAACCCTGTCATTTTAGAGATAGGGAAGCTAAAGCCCACAAATAAATTGGCTCTTTTAAGTTCAAGCAGCAGACCCAGGTTTCCAGACTGCCAATCAAGTCCTCTTTCCTCCCTCCATAAATAGCTGGCTGGCTTTTCCCCAACCCTGCACAGCCGCAGGCAGAACAAGCAAGTGAAGCAGGGCCATGGCCAAGGGAAGTGATGCATGCTTCCATGGCAAGTGAGTCACGAACCTTTTCCTTTGGGGTGTGCACTGCACGACCCTGGCTTTCTGCATGCCAGAGAATGAACAGAAAGGACTCCATGCTGCTTTGCCTCACTTGGGATGCCAGGGCACAGAGCACATGCATCATGCAGGCAGGGTTTGGAGGGAGGAGGAAAGAGGAGGAGCCCCATCAGGCCAGACTAAGTCTGGCATGGGCCTTATCTTCACAGAAAGTGTTCCCAAAGGACATGGAGAACTTCCTACAACTCTCCAGGCCTATTCCTGGTAGTTCCTACAACTGGTTCTCTAGGGAGCAGCTGGGATTTGTGTGTGTGTGTGTGTGTGTGTGTGTGTGTGTGTGTGTGTATGCCAGTACTAGGCCTTGAACTCAGGGCCTAAGCATTGTCCTTTAGCTTTTTTGTTCAAGATTAATGCCCTATTAGTTAAGTCATAGCTTCACTTCTGGCTTTTGGTAGTTGATTGAAGAGGCAAGTCTCTCATTGACCTTATTACTGGCCCAGGTAAGGCCAGCTTCAAACCTTGATCCTCAGATCTCAACCTCCCAAGTAGCTAAGATTACAGGGAGGAGCCACCAGTGCCTGACTCGCAGCTGAGTTTTTTCATTCACCCCATCTCAGTCCACACCACTGCTTCTTACAGTTTAGAAGAGATAATGATGACATCACAATCACAAATATCAAATGTGATTCAGCATCGACCTGAGACTTCTGCAAACTCCTAAACTGGCAAATACCTTAAAGCATACCATTTCCCTTTGGAGAAATCAAGCCAACAGTTGCAAATCTTAGGTCATTTCATAACTTGTAATGATTCTAGAGCTATAGGGTTACTCATTATTTATTTACATGTGGTTTTGTTTGGTTTTCTGAAAAAGAGAGTCTTGTTAAAGCAGTCCAGGCTGGACAGAAGTTCACCATCCTCCTGCCTCATCTCTTGAGTGTTGGGATTACCATCCCCACTACCATCTCCTGCTACGGATCTATTATTTTTAAGGCAATTTATAAGAAAGTCTGCATCAACCCAATGTGGTTATAATCTATATCCCCATGGTATTTTGCAGAGATGACCAATGGAAACCCATAAAGTCCAAAGAAGACAGGCATACTAGGTGGAAGAGGGGCCTACCTCCACCCAGTTAACCCCAAAGCCCCATTAGACCCAACATATCCCTCAGTAAATGCAGGTATAGGGAAAGAGAAAAAATTATCCTGTAGTTGGAATACTAGCTGACTCCATTCTCATAAGGCAAGTTCAAAAGAGTTATTTGCAGAAAGAGACTTCTGGGTAAAAATCAACCCTGAGGATAAATAAAGAGAGTTAGGAGATAGGTGTGGTCTAGTAAAAAATAAAGAAGAAGAAAAAAAAAAGAAACACTTCCTGCAGGTATACTCAGCTTCTTTATTCTATCAAGGATCTATTTTTCCCTCATGATCAAAGACCTACAAAGAAGATTAGGCTGGTTTTTCTAAGGAAATAACCTATGAAATACTAGAGTCTACATCTTAGCCCTTAGGGACATCTAGTATGGACTTAGGTTATATAGTTTCAGGTAGACATTGTTGACCATCTGGCAGAAAAATAAAGCAATAGATGACAAGTGTTAGCTAATTGAAGTTGTTTATGAGTTGAATAGGCTATTCTAAGACTCCCACAAGTTTCTTGGCAGAGTAGACACTCAGAAGATGGATGGCGACTAGCCAAGAAAATGAATGTTAAGAGCCAACCACCCTGTATCAGAGATGTTGAGAAGAAAAGCTCAGAATGCCCGAAGCTGAGCAGGAATTCAAGATGTGAGGAGGTGTGCTGTATACATCCAAGCCTAAAACAAAGGGAGGTCCAGCTGCAGTAGTCTCTGACTTCGTGAAGCTACAGAGTCTCATACTTACATCTCTTCCTTTGGGCAACAAAGTTACTTCTGGCCTCTATCCATCTGGTTTCCCCACTCTGCCCCTACTGGGAATTTCTTTGGCATTTGAAGCTGGTGAATCACAGGACAGGGAAGAGTATTCTCCCCAATACACACACACACACACACACACACACACACACACACACACACTTTAGCTCTCTATGGAACCTCACGTCACAGGGATCCACCTGCCCCCAAAATTTACAAATAATTAGCAGACAAATAATTAGCATGTAGACTCTTCATTATTTTACAAATTAACAGCTCAGACACTGAATCTGAACTGATTGTGCTTCCCAAGTATACACACCCAGTTCATAATGATCTCTATTTCTCTTCTTTTTGATTTTTCTTTCTCCAAACTATCTGCTACTGTACTAACCTCTGCCCCAGGGAATATCTTGCCTCTTCACCCAGCTTTACTTCCAGTCCAAGCCACCCATTGATTTCCAGAATGAAGAGAGCAGAGATCCTGGACTATATTCACTGCAACATGTCACCAACCCACTACTTCAGTTTGGATGCTCAGTCATCCCTGACCCCATCATTCTAACCAATCCTCTTCCCCCAATCAATCTTGAACCCTGTGGCCATTCTCCAAGTCCATGACTGCCTCTTCAACTGCAGCTACTCAGAGGCTGGACTCTAGCTAACTTCTTTAAAGAGCATCATACTCTAAGAAGAGTCCAGAACCAGAACACCCAATTTTAGGCCCTCTGCACCTGCATGAGACCAAGAAAGCAATAGTTCTTGAAGTGTACTTGAAGACCAGCAAAATCTCCATGCATGGGAACTTGGTAGAAATGCAAAGCCTCACATAGAGTGATCAACTCATATCCATTCATCCAGGACTTTCCTGGTTTAGGATTGAAGGCCTCAAACTGAAGAAGTCCCTTGGTCTTAGATAAATCTGATGGTTGATCATGCTCAGCCTATCCCAGATCTGCTCAATGACCTGCCTTGGAGTTGGGGCCCAGCAATAGGTACTTATTGAACCCTTCAGGGAATGTTGATGCATGCTCATTGGAGTCTCGCCAATTCTAACCTAAATGTGTTAAAATGCTAAACTTGAATCTACACAAAGCTGCCCACAATGTGACCCCATGTCCTCCAACTCTCTCCCTGGACAAAGGAAGTCAGACCTTGTCCTGCTGACTGTCACAGAGAGTTCTGGGCCAGATAGCACTAGCCCCAGGCAGCTCTTTCAGCTGTGGAGAATCTCATGTTCTGCCCAGCTCATAGTTGGCCAGGACAATAGTCTCAGCCCACATGGTCTACAACTTGTATCCCAGCCAGTGATGGGAAAATACCGAGTTTTCTCCCTATTCCTTTTGCACTTGCGTTTTCAAGAAAATCTGAGTTTCCTTGTTGTTTGGGAAGAAAGTCAGGTGAGTTGATGTCTGGGTATGCAGT